TCAGAAAACAATTAACAAAATGACAACAGTAAGTCCTTATCCATCAGTAATTACTCTAAATGCAAATAGTTTAAATTTTCTAATCCAAAGATATAGATCAATTAATTAATTGAATTAATTTTAAAAAGGATCCAACAATATGCTGCCTACAAAAGACTCACTTCAACTTTAAGGACACACAGAGGCTGAAAGTGAAGGGATGGAAAAATATATTTCACGCAAATGGTAACCAAAAGACGGCAGGGGTGGCTATAATTATATTAGGCCAAATATACTTTCAGTCAAGACTGGTTGTAAGAGACAAAGAAGGTCACTATACAATAATAAAGGAGTAAATTCACTAAGGTGATATAACAATTGCAAACATACATGCACCCAACATTGAGGCACCTAAATATATAAAGCAAATATTAACTGAACTGAAGGGAGAAATAGACAGCAAATACAATAACAGTAGGGAATTCAACACTCCACTTTCAACAGTGGATAGAGCTTCAAGACAGAAATCAATAAGGTAACAGCCAACCTGAAACATTATAGACCAAATTGACCTAACAGACATATACAGAACATTTTATCCAACAGCAGCAGAATATACATTCTTCTCAAGCACACATGGAAAATTCTCCAGGGTAAACCACATGTGAGTCAAAACACAAGTCAACAAATCTAAGAAAACTGAAATCATAAGAAGTATCTTTTCCAATCACACTTGTAGGAAACTAGAAATCAATAACAGAAAAAAACCTCGAAAATTCACAAATATTAGACAACATGCTCATAAACAACCAATGGACCAAATGAGAAATCAAAAAAGAAATCAGAAAGTATCTTGAGACAAATGAAAATGAAAACACAAAATACCAAAGTTTATGGGATGCAGCAAAAGCAGTTCTAAAAGAGAAGTGTATAACAATAAAGACCTACATTAAGAAAAAAAGAAAGAGGGGCCGGCCCAGTGGAGTAGTGGTTAAGTTCGGCATGCTCCATTTTGGCAGCCCGGGGTTCACAGGTTTGGATCCCAGGCATGGAGCTACACTACTCATCAAGCCATGCTGTGGTGGCAATCCACATACAAACTAGAGGAAGATTGGCACAGATGTTAACTCAAGGCCAAATTTCCTCAGCAGAAAAAAAGAGCAAGCTCAAATAAAGAACCTTATGCCTCAAGGAACTAGAAAAGAACAACAAACTAAGCCCACAAGTAGCAGAAAAAGGAAATAATAAAGATCAGGTCAAAAATAAATGAAATAGAGACTAGAAAGATAATAGAAAAGATCAACAAAACTAAGAGTTGGTATTGTGAAAATATAAACAAAATTGACAAATCTTTAGCTAGACTAGTCAAGAATAAAAGAGAGAAGACTCAAATTAATAAAATTATAAATGAAAAAGGAGACATTATAATTGATGTTAAGAAATACAAAGGACCATAAGAGATTACTATCAACATTATACACCACTAAATTGGATAACCTAGAAGAAATGAATAAATCCCTATAAGCATACAACCCACCAAGGTTAAGCAAGGAAGAAATAAAAAATCTGAACAGACCTATAGTGAGGAGATTGAAACAGTTATCAAAAACCTCCTGATAAGGAAAAGCCCAGGACCAAATGGTTTCATAGGTGAATCATACAAAACATTTAAAGAATTAATGCCAATCCCTCTCAAATTCTTCCAAAACACTGAAGAGGAAGGAACACTCCCAAACTCATTTTATGAAGCCAGCATTACCCTGATACCAAAGCCAGATAAAGATACTACAAGAAAATTACAAGCCAATATTCCTGATGAACACAGATGCAAAAATCCTCAACAAAATACTAACAAACCAAACTCTACAGCACATTAAAAGTATTATACACCATGATCAAATGGGATTTGTCAAGTGGGATGTAATGATGATTCAACATATGCAAATTAACAAGTGTGAAACACCATATTAACCAATGAAGGATAAAAACCATATAATCACCTCAATAAATGCAGAAAATGCATTTGACAAAATTCCATATCCTTTCCTGATGAAAACTCTCAACAAATTGGTATATAAGGATCGTACTTCAACATAATCAAGGCCATATATGACAAACCACAGCTAACATCAACTCAATGGTGAAAAGCTTAAAGCTTTTCCTCTAAGATCAGGAACAAGAGAAGGGGGCTCACTCTCACCACTTTCATTCAACATAGTACTGGAAGTCCTAGCCAGAAAATTTAGGCAAGAAAAGAAATAAGAGGCATCCAAAGTAGAAAGGAAGAAGTAAAACTGTCTCTGTTAGCAGATGACATGATCTAATATATAGAAAACCCTAAATACTCCACCAAAACATTGTTAGAACTAATAAATGAATTCATTAAAGTTGCAGGATACAAAACAATATACAAAAATCAGTTGTGCTTCTATACACTAACAATGAACTATCAGAAAGACAAATTAAGAAAACTATCCCATTTACAACAGCATCAAAATGAATAAAATACTTAGGAATAAATTTAACCAAGGAGATGAAAGATCTGTACTCTAAAAACTACAGAACATTGATGAAGGAAAATGAAGAAGATACAAATAAATGGAAAGATATCCTGTTCATGAATTGGAATAATTAGCATTGTTAAAAATGTCCATGCTACCCAAAGTGATCTAGAGATTCAATGCAATCTCTACAAAATTCCAATGGCAGTTTTCAGAGAAATAGAAAAACAAGCCTAAAATTCACGTGGAACCAGAAAAGAGCCTGAATAGTCAATAAAATCTTGAGAAAGAAGAACAAATCTAGAGGAATCACACTTCCTGATTTCAAACTATGGTAATCAAAACAATATGATACGAGCATAAAAATAGACACACAGGGCCCGGCCCCATGGCCTAGTAGTTAAAGTTCCCTGTGCTCTGCTTCTGCTGCCCGGGTTCTCTGGTTCAGATCCCAAGGGTGGACCTACTCCACTCAGCAGCCATGCTGTGGCAGTCTTCCACATATAAAGTAGAGGAAGACTGGCACAGATGTTAGCTCAGGGCAAATCTTCCTCAGGAAAAAAAAACAGACACACAGACCAATGGAACATAACAAAGAGCCCAGAAATAAACTCATGCATGTGGTCAACTAATCTTTGACAAGGGCACCAAGAATACACAATGGGGAAAGGATAGTCTCTTCAATAAATGGTCCTGGAAAAACAGGATATCTACATGAAATAGAATGAAATGGGACAATTACCTTATACCATAGACAAAAATGAACTCAAACTGGATTAAAGACTTAAATGTAAGACCTGAACCTATGAAACTCCTAGAAGAAAACACAGGAAAAGCTCTTCGGCATTGGTCTTGACAATGATATTTTGGACATTACACCAAAAGCACAACCAACCAAAGCAAAATAAACAAATGGGATTGCGTCAAACAAAAAAGTTCCTGTACAGTGAAGTAAATATCCACAAAATGAAAAGCCAACCTACAGAATGGGAGAAAATATCTGCAAACCATATATCTGACAAAGGGTTAATATCCAAAATTTATAAGGAGCTCATATAAATCAATGGCAAAAATAATAACTCAATCAAAAAATTGGCAACGGGCATGAATAGACACTTTTCCCAAAAAGACATACAAATGGCCAACAGGTACATGAAAAGGTGCTCCACATCACTAATCATTAAGGAAATGCAAATCAAAACCACAATGAGATATCACCTCACACTTGTTAGGATGGCTATTATCAAAAAGACAAGAGGCAAGTGGTAGTGAGGAAGTGAAGAGAGGGACACTTGCACACTGTTGGTGTAAATGTAAACTGATATGACCATTATGGATGATAGTATAGAAGTTCCTCAAAAAATTAAAAATAGAAGTAACATACGATCCAGCAACCCCACTTCCAGGTATCTACCCAAAGGAGATGAAATCACTCTCTTTGAAGAGATATCTACACTCCCATGTTTGCATTCCTTAATGGAATATTATTCAGCCATAAAAAAAGAAGCAAATACTGTCATTTGTGATAAGATGTATGAACCTGGAGGACATTATGCTAAGTGAAGTAAGGCAGACAAAGACAAATACTGTATGATCTCACTTATACGTGGAATCTTAAAAAGTTGAACTCTTAGAACCAAATAGTAGAATGGGGTTGCCCAGGGACTGAGGGGTTAGGAAAATGAGGAGATGTTATCAAAGAGTACAAACTTTCAGTTATAAGTTGAATATGTTCTAGAGAGCTAACGTACAACATTATGTTCACAGTTAATAATACTAACGTATTGCATACTTGAAATTTTCTAACAGAGTGGATCTGAAGTGTTCTCACCGCAAAAAAAAAAAAAATGCTAACTATGTGAGGTGGAAAAAAATTACTGAAGGTATTCTATGATGATGATTTATTCATCTATTTAATTTCAAGACAGCTAGACCTCAAATATCAAAAACGAGTGTCAACAGATAATAGGAGTATCATTGTAATCATTTAAACCTTCCTCTCACCCAGCAAAAACAGCTTTTCTCAACTAAAAAGTAGGAAATTATTCTTTGGAACATATCCCTGTCCTTCCGCAACTTTTAATGATGATGTTCATGAACAATGAGCTATTTAATTATACCTAAAATAGTTTCCTATTTACTACAGAAGCTACCTAATCAAACTGAGTGAAGAACTTATAAGCTGGATATTTCAAAGCCAGCAATGTCCAATAGAATCTTCTAACAACAGGCACACGTGGCTACTAAGCACTTGAAATAAGGTTAGTGTGACTAAGAAACTGGTCTTTTAATTAAATTGAACTGAATTTTAATAGCCACATGTGGCTAGTGACTACTGTATTAGACAGTGTCATTTCAAACTATTAAAAATTTCAGATAGGAACAAGCTGACTAGACCACTGAATTTGATTTAGAAGTTCTATGTATAGTATAATATCTGAACCACTATCTTACATTTGTTACTAATTATATACCCATTCTTACTGTTTTTAATTCTATTAAGTCTTAGATGTTACTTACGTGGGTTTAGACAACATGGTTTTTAAGGAGTATTTAGACTGCTGTTTAAGGCGATTTTTCAGTTCTTCAAGTTTTTGCACCTGGCTTACTAGTTGTGCAATGCTTAAAGTGACTGTTGTGCCAGATGCTGGCAACTCTGCTTCTGAAATAGTTTGATCTTTACTTATCTAAAATAATAAAATTAGCCAGTTACTTAGGAAATACTCATTTTACTCCCATACCTCAAAGACATTTCATTTCACTTATCATATCTAAATAATTTTTATATTATTATCTATAGCTATAATCAAATACTAATATTTTACAAATATACGAGCAATTACCTAGGGACATAATTATAGCTAAATGTTGACTTTTACATGTCAAAACTCAAATCCAATATTCTGTTTACTATTCTAATATATAAGAATTTTAAGCAATTTTAATAACAATTGTAACAGGATCACTTAAAGGCAATTCAAAATATTTACAAGCGAATTCTAAAGTAATTACTTCTCCAAATCCTTTCTAAAAAGACTCTTACTGTGACAAATTATGGAGAGATAGTAATTTGCTCTCAAAGGACAATAGCTTCTACTAACTCCCAGAAGTTAATGTATAAAGGTCTATGGAGCTGGCATTCCTCAGTCTGCATGGGTAAGACTGAGACCCACTGGGATGTCTCAAGCCTTTTGGAATAGATCAAGTTGCAGAGTAATGAGCAGCTGGGAGAATCAGTAAGATCCACAGAATAAGATGACAAACCATAATTGGTATTCTACGCAATAACTATTTAAAGAATGTTCAGCAAGAATGAGTGCTCAAGATACCACAATGACAGAAACTAGAAATAGCCAATATGTGGAGACATAAATAAGCAGAGCAGCAATTGAGGTCAAGAAGTTTTTACAGGAGAACAGCACAGATCCACACATGTGGACACCTCCAACCCTTATGATGGGAGGGAAAGCTGGAAAAAAAATGAGTCAAGACATAGTCCTAGGAACTAGCAAAGAGAAATTCTAGCACTGGGAATTTAAAACAGAGACTTCATTTTAGTAATGGCTACTTGGAATTGGTTAGGATATAATAGCAGGAGGTGAATACTAGGCAATGTGCCTGAAGTGCGAGATTGGGGGAAGCAGAGCAGGTGGAAGGAAGCAGGAGATGAATGGAGACTCTGTGGACAAAGGCAAGATCCCAAACCAAAAAACACCAATCATAAATTGAGTCTAAAAAGTGATGTAGCAATCACGCACAGTTATCAATTTATTGCCCCTCATCTAAAAATCCATCGGTACTGTCTTGCTTATGGTAGTGGAACATTTCTCTCTTGACAGGTTGCATGTTAGCCTTTGTCAGTAGAGGGTCCTAGACACTAAAGGATGAAGAAGCTTTCCTAGTTCTATCATTACTCTCTGCTTAATCCTAGGGAAGTGCACACTATATCTAATATTTCTCACATCCAGCAAGTTTCAACAGCACTACCCCCATGGGTAGCTTCCTGGCAAGGTCCCTAGCATGGCACACTCCCATGGCCTGCTTCTCCCAAAACTTCTTAGCAAAATCCACCAGTGCAGAACGTCTCTTTGGGAAGCTTTGCACCCTTGTGAACAGCTTGCTACCAAGAGGTACAGTACCTTCCTGGAAGATGGCTTTTCCTAGCACCAAAGAGGATGCCTTCCCAGAGTACCACCCTCATGGGAAGCTCCCCAGTGAGTACCGGTTCTACCAGCATGGCACCCCAAAAACTTCTCTGCCATACAGTGATGACAACTGTTCCTTCTTCACAAGGTCTGGATCTTAGCCCTGGCTTAGGGGGAGGAAAAGGATGGGGGTATTCAGACTTGTTCCTTCCTTGAGTACTCTGCTTCCATCCTAGAGGTAGACGCTACTCTCTGGATCTTCTACCCCTTTATTGTTGAGAGTTATCTTTACCTTTTTAGTAGGTATTCTCCTGTTATAATAATTCTTTATGTGAAACTTTCCTTATTCAAATTACTGTATGGTGTTTGTCTCTTTATTAGACCATAACTGATATATTTCCCAAAAGAGATTAAATTTTAACATAGGTCCTTTCTAGGAGACTAGATGATGTCATAGAACTAAAGGGATATGGAATAGACAGTGGGACTATCAGCTATAAGACTTCATCAAAGAGACCAACTGGGAACAGGTTCCAGGAGAACAACTCTGAAGCATATAGGCTACACACTTATCCCACATTTCTCTGGTTCAGCTCACCATACATTCTGAAGACTTCAGCATGTATCTTTGTATCTCTGTTAATGCAACATAACCACAGGCATTAACCTCACCATCATGTGCTGAAAATAAAATGTGTCAACAATAAAAACAAGATTATTCCAAGATTCTCAAATGTTAATGTGAATAATAAACCTCTAAGGAGTCTGATAAAGAGGCAGATTCCTAACACAAACACATGCACAAAAAAACCTTTAATTCAGTAAAACTTATTCAGAGATCTGAAGTGTGCATTTATAACAGGTATCTTGGGTGATATTTAAACATGATACACTGGGTGATATTTAAACATGATCCATCAATTATACTTTGAGAAACACTCCTCAAAAGGCGGAAGATAATACAAACACTTATGCAATGTATCTGATACAGCAAATTAAGGAAATATTCAAGAGAAGCAGTTATGGGTTTAAATATGGAAAAACTTGAAACTCCAGATCAGAAGTTTAGTTGTGTACTGAAGATTACTTCTGGTGACTCTGAATGCACAAATCAGGATTTCAGGCATACTAGAGATCATGATAACTGTCAATAAAGTGTAAACAGTAGCTACAGAGAAAAGCAGACATATTTAACAGCAATTTATGACATAAAATCCAAAGGACTCAGGATAGATTGAATATTAAAATAGATGGAATGGAGTTGTCAAGGTAAATTACCACATTTCTGGTCTACCCAATTAGATACATGGTACTACCATTCACTGAGACAAGGAACACTGGAAAAGGTATGAGTTTAGGGGTAAAAAATTCTTGATTTTGATCCATTGGGTTTGAGGTGAAATAGTCTAGTAGGTAACTACACTTCCAGAGTTCAGAGGATGTTTTTGAGCAAAGGTGTACATTTCTAAATTACCAGTATAAAGGTAATACTTGAAAGGAAAAACTGGATGAGATTGCCTAGGGGAAAGTCTGGAGTTAAAAAGGAGGCAAAAGATGAAATCTTGAGGCCTTCCAACATTTAATGGTTAGATAAAGAAGCTGACTCTAGAAAGGAGACAGCAAAAAGGTGAAACAATAGCCAGGAGAGCGTGATTCACACGCCAAAGGAAAAGTGTTCTAAAAATGAGGAAGTGGAGGGACGGTTTCAAGATGGCAGCACTGGCAGACTCTAAACTCACCTCCTCCCCCAGATACAATGAATTTACAACTACTCTTGGAACAATTACCCCTAAGAAACAGCTGAAAACTAACTAGGTATAAACTAACTAGAAAAAAGACACCCTCTAACAGCAATACTTCATGGCCAGCCAGGATCAGCCTTAAGATATGAAGCCTTCCCTGGAGGAGAGGGGGATCTGGGCTGGGGAGCATTACCACAATAAGCAGATTTTGGACTTAGCACAACTGAGACAAGTGGCATAATACCTGGTTTTGCTGGCTATTAACTACAATGGGAAACACCCCCAAGAAAAGCTATTAGACATAAGAGGAAAGAAAAGTTTGCTCTTAAAGGGCCCATGCAGAAATTCACCCATTTCAGAAAGCAACCTAAAATCACCAGAAAGAAAAGTGCAAAGTCCTTTGCTGAAAAGAGACTCATCTGATAGGCTCTGGGTGCATTTCAGTGAAGGAGAGACCTCTCCACAGACTGAGACATTGGTGGCAGCAATTATTATGACCTAGTAGAGGCATGCTGACACAGAGGCTGCCAGAAGCCACTGGAGTTCTTCCCCTCACCTGTTAGCTCAGAGATCTGCCCCATCTACTAGAGCACCAATATAATCCATCTTAGCCAGGGTAGGAAGCCCATCCTAGGGACTAACCCCAACCAACAGCAAGCCTTTGGGCAGCTTATGGACCCACATAAGCAGTGCCTAAAACCTCTGCAGTTGGGTGAGTGGATCCACTAGTGTAGGGTGGGGCATTTGTGAGGGGAGGGCCTGAATTGGGGGAACAAATGGGGCCTTTGCAGCTGGGCAAATGGGTCTGCTTTCATGGGTTGGGGTACACACATGGGGTAAGACTGCATTGATGGGGTGTTTGGCCCTGCGGGCAATGGGGCTGGTCAGTTGGAGCAGACTTGTGCTTCTCAACAGCCACATGGAGGATCAGCCCCACCTTCCAAAGCCTGAAACAACTGGGTGCAGCCATTGGACCCAACTGGAGGCCTGAAGCAATTGTAAGCCCCTGAAGAGAGAGACAAAGGGGCAGAGAATCTACCTGAAGAAATAATAGCTGAAACTTTCCTAACCTAAGGAAGGGAACAGACATCCACTTACAGGAAGCACAGAGAGCACCAAACAAGATAAACCCAAAGAGGCCCACAGCAAGACACATTATAAGTAAAATGTCAATGATTAAAGATAAAGAGAGAATCCTAAAAGCAGCAAGAGAAAGGCAGAAAGTTACATACAAAGGAAATCCAATAGGCTATTGGCTGACTTCTCAGCAGAAACCTTACAGGCTAGAAGGGAGTGGCACAATATATTTAAAGTGCTGAAAGGAAAAAACCTGCAGCCAAGAATACTCTACCCAGCAAGGTTATCATTCAGAATGGAAGGAGAGGTAAAAAGTTTCCCAGAGAAGCAAAAACAAAAGAGATGATCACCAAGTAGCCAGCTTTAGAAGAAATGCTAAAGGGACTTATTTGAGTGGAAAAGAGAAGAATACAAATAGGAGTAAGAAAACTATGAAAAAAAGCAACAAAATCACTGGCAAAGCCAAATATTCAATAAAGGTAGCAGATCACCCACCTATGAAGCTAATATGAAGATCAAAAGACAAAAGTTCTAAAATTATCCATTTCCATGATAAGAGGGTAACAGATACACATGTACAAAAAAGGAGGTTAGATATGATATCAAAAACATAAAATGTAGGAGGCAAGGAGTAAAAGAATAGAGCTTTTAGCAAGAGGTCAAACTAAAGAGACCATCAACTTAATATAGATTGCTATATAACTAGGTTATTCTATATGAACG